AATTGTAAGTGAACTTGAAAATAGGATCAATAGTTGTTGATAAACCTACGTAATTCCTTAAAAAAGCATTTCGGTTATTTTTAAATAAAAATACTTCTGTTCGCAAAATGGCACTTTTTGATTCATTCGAATAAAAAATGCATTGTTTTCCGTGTTGCTCAGGTGGTGGAGGCGATGCAGAAGATGCACGATCGCAAGAACGTAGGAAAAATGATCCTGGACCCCAGCTTGGAGCCCAGACCGAAGCCAGCGACTCCAGCCAAAGGCAAAGACAAGAAGAAGCAATCGTCTGAGGAGAAGAAGGAAAGCGACGAGAAAAAGGAGGAGAAGAAGGAGAAGGACGAGGAGAAGAAGGAAAAGGAGGATAAGGAGGCGATCACTAACGGAACCGGAGAACCGGCCGCCGAAGAGGCTGAGAAGAAGTAGGGTAGCAACAAAGTATATTAACTATTATCTGTTGACAATGATAATATTTAAGGTTACACAAAGATTTTAAATCCATGTAAATTAAGGTACCTATCCAAAATCAAAACTGCGCCTAGGCGATTGTATACGTCCCAGGTAATATTCCCATCTATCTTTGTGTGTGTATCACTCCTATAAGGGTCAACTAGTTTACTGTTTCATTATTTCACAACACTCATTGCTGGACAAAAACTCTTCCAGTTTTAAACTGGCCACATTTATGAAGATCTCAAGTTGAACCGAACTGACCATACTTGCTGTGTTATAATTTTTAGCGTCGAAACCTAAAGGAGATTCCTGTGAACTAATGACCAAATTGGTGGACTAACCATATTATGTCTCAATTTATTTTTATAATTCCTAATTTAAGATGTATTTACTGTAGTTTGTTCATGACGAATAAGTTTGTATTATTAATTACGTTAAAGTCCGAAATGTTTATTTACTAGTGATTTGCGTTTTTTATTATTATTATTAGTTGTAAAATAATCGGTGCATCTACCATGTGGGGCAAAAAGAGGCTGTATTTTTGCATATCAATCAGTCAGCCCAAATCTACTACTAAAAGCCATGTTAGGTGATACCGAGTATTAAAAGAAAACTTTCTTGCTTGTACGGAATCAGTGTTTCTCGTTCGGGAAGCAACGAATCCCAATAGTTAGGTGTTTAAGAAAAAGCTACTTTGCACTATTATCGCGTACACTTAAAAACAATTAAGTCTACTACTACTACTACTACTATAAATCAAATCGCCGTTTGTCTAGAAGTTTTTTTTTATAAAACTGACATATCTATAATTCACAATCGAGCTCAGACCAACCAGTAGTTAGCATTTGATAAACGTATTTATGCTTAGGCAGACAAAAACGAATTTTAACATTTATACTCCGTATATTCTTAACATATTTTTGCTAAAATGCCATTTTATGGAGCCATATCACTCAAAACGTTTTGTATTACACCCTTAATCGAATTTATATGCATTAGTTTAGTGAGGGTTCAGTTCGCGCTAACGCTCTCGCCGCTGCCTCACTCGATGAGATCAGTGAGGTTTCGCTTCGTATATGTTCTACAGCTCATACATGTAAACGTAAAACTGTAACTGTGCAAGATATATTTTCGTAATGAGTGCGTCTAGTGGACGGACTGTAGTTAGGAAGGAGCTGGCTTCAATGTTCTGTTTAAAAATGTTTAACTATTCAATTAATTATGCTGGAGTATGTTCGATATAAGGCTTGAAAATTATATGTAAATGTAAGACTGATGAGTTAAGCTACTGCGTATTATTGCTTGGATGCCTGTATAATAAAATAAATGTATGATTACTGATCAATCCGGTTTTATTGCGGAGCCTCCGTTTCCTGAACAGGTTCTCCTTCATCGATGGGGGATTTGTTTAGTTGTGCTTCCTCAGGTGCTTTCTCCAGATCATGCACCATGATCTCCTTTTCTTCTTTGCCTGCATTTCGGTCAAGCCAGTTCGTTCAATTGCTTCGAAACCACTTACTTCTCTTCCCCTTCTTGCCCTTTTTCCCCTTTTTGGGTTTAGGGGGCGGCAATTGGGTGTCCGGGTAAAACCCCATGTAGTCCTGAACCAGCGCCTGGCAGTCCACCTGCTTCTTCTTGTTCGTGAACAAATTAGCCAGTGCTTGCACCAAATCCTTGTCCAGTTTTTTCATTTTCTGCTTCTTCAGCTCCTTCTGCAAGTCTTCCGGTTGGATGGGGTTAGCCGGCAGGCTCAGGATGAGGTGCCTGAAACGTAAACTCACCTAAGCGGGTTGATCTGGGCTTCACACTGATTTACCCAAAGTCCTTTCTGGCTTTGGCTTTTTTGGGCTTCATCAGAATGTATCGGCACCGATCGTAGATCAGCTTTCGGGGGTTGGGCCCGTGGATTTCGTAGTTGCTCAAAATGCCCCCGATTTTCACTTTTTTGCCAATATTGGCGATTTTTGTTAAAATCTGCAGTTAAACCCGCCTTTTATTCCCTTCGGACTGGTGAAGAAAGTGTGCTGCCTACCGGCTTGGATTGCTTATTCACATACATATTGTCCATATCCAGATACTCCAAAGGATCTTTGGCCTTGCCAGCCAGCATCGTTAGCAGAAAATGCGCCTCTTCCGGGCCGTAGATGTTGCTGCCAATTCTCACCGTTCGAAGTGAGTGGTTTTTGTTCAGGGCCGTTCTGGTTATTCTTAGGGACTGGCCCTCTAAACTGCATCAACAAACTGCTTTAATTGGCCGCAGCTATCCGTTAGCTAAGGGGATTTACCGGTTGTTGCTCAGGTCAATTTCCTGCAAAGTCTGGGCTTTCTTCAAGTAGCGAACCATCGGTCTGACTGCTGGCGTGAGCCCCAGCCCATTCCATGACAAGTTCAGGGCCTTAATTCTATCACTCTCTGTTAGGCCCTTGAAGAGCTTGCGGTTGCCTAGAGAATGCGTGGAAGAAGTGAGGTTTGCAAATTGCAAAATTGCAAAATTTACCTTGCGCTGTGAAGAAGCCGTTCCACGACAGGTCCAGATCCTCGATAGTTTTGTTCTCCACCAGGATGGCCGCCAAGGCTTCAGCTGAATCTTCCGTAATGTTATTGTGACTGAGATTTAGAGTGTTCAGTGAGGCATTTTCACACAACCCAGTCCTTAAGGCGAGCAATCCGGCGTCTCCTAGTTCGTTGTAGCTCAAGTCCAGGCTTCTCAGCGTTTGGAGGCTGGATAGAGCCTCCCCCAGCTTCTGAGCGCCTAAACTTCCCAGATAGCTTTTGATATTCTATGAATATCCCAGAATGTTCAAAAAATATACAGAACATTGCGGGAATAT